TTTTTTTTTTTTTTTTTTTTTTTTTTTTTTTTTTCCTTGTTTTCTTTCACTCATTATTATTACCTTGATTTGTCTTTTATAGCATATCAAATGATGCTACCTCCATTCAGATTAATGGTGAGGATATCCGCGAGTTCATTGCTGGGCTTGCTGACAACGTTGGACTTGAGAGCACGCATGCCGCGAGAATGGTAATAGCTGCTGTTGCTGCTCGTACACGGTCTAGAATCCTGCAGGCTTGGGTATGCTATGTGGTTCTTATTTGTGATATATAATCTCAGGGGGTTTATTCATTTGGGGTTCTTAAAGAATTGCTGGGAATTTAAGTATCCTGGTGTATTTAATTTGTATATTTTAAGACTCTTAAAAAAAATATTGAGGTATTCATTTAAGATTTCAAAAAGTCTTAACAAATCACAAGGTATTTAACTTATTTGAGAGATTTACTAAGGGGGTGTATTCAATTGAGATTTAAGTGACGTTTTAAGACTTTTAGGGTGTGATTGTTTATACATTCAACTAGTTTTTGTTTGGTTTGGTTTTAACTATAGTTAATTTTAAAAAAAAGTGATATGGTTAGTTGTTAGTGAATATATTAAATTAATATTTAAATAAATAATTAAAGTTGATTTGATGTAAAGTATGAGAAAAATGATTGGAAGTGATAGTTAGTTAAAATTATATGAGTGGATGAATAGTGAATTAAAGTTGGTGTGATGTGTAAGAATGATTGGTTATATTATTTAATTATATTGATAAAATTAGAGATAGTGGGGTTGAGTTAAATTTGAGTTTTGATTGATTTTTTTTACTGTTGAAACAATATCCAATCGCCCCCTTAAAGATTTGAGACTTTTTAAGATTTTCAGAGTTTGGAAGTATTTTGTGAAATCTGAAGTGTGGAGGTAGGATTTGAAGTGGGATTTCGTATAAGGTTTTTTATTTAGAAATCCCACTAAATCTTAAAAAGTCTTAACCAATCATAGTGTCAAATAAATTAAATACCTCAGGATTTTGTAAGACTTTTAAAATCCCAATTGAATACCCCAGGATTTTTAAAAGTCTTAACAAATCAAAATTGAATACACCAGTATTTTTAAAGTCTTAAAAATTCCTTAGAAATCTCAATTGAATACACCCTTGTAAGACTTTTTAAGATTTGTTGAGATTTCATAGACAAAACCTTACACGAAATCCCACACCAAGTCCCACTTCCATGGTGTATTCGTTTGGGATTTCTAAAGACATTTTAAGATTTAAGAAATTTTGATGTATTTATTAGACTTTTCAAACTCTTTTAAAACTCTCGAGGCATTCATGTGAGATGTTAAAAAATCTTTCAAATCATGAGGTATTTAACTTATTTGAGATTAAGATTTGTTAAAACTTTTAAAGATTTATTGGGTTTTCAAATAAAAAAACCATGTGCAAAATCCCACTCGAAATCTCACTTAAGATTTCATTGGATTCCTCGTAACCCTAAATATCTTAAAAAGTCTCAAATATGAGAAAAGTCTTAAAATGTCTCTTAAAATCCCAAACAATAGTCTTACTACAGTACATTCCTAGAAGACGTGAAGTTCAATTTGATCAAGTTTAGTATTGATGTCATAGTAGATGTTTTCACATGAAGTATCTAAAGAGGAGTCAATTTTATGTGACATTTTTTTAGCGTTTCAAATGATACGTCAAGCATCGGCATTGTTGTCTCATCAGTTTCCATATTCTAGAACGCAAACAATAGAATCTTATTGACGGCAATGTGCTATCTTTGTCAATAAATAACATTTACCATGTTAGTGATTTTAATAATATTTTTTAGTTATTTTATTTCAGGCATTAGAAGTTCAAAATAAACATGCTCAAGCACTAGCGGAACTGTTCAAAGTTTGTCTTATCCACCGTGTCTTCCCTCCCGAGGAGAATTCAGTACGTCTTTCTCTCTTGTTTTCAGTGGAAACTTTTATGAAGTGCCTTCTTTTTTGGTACAGAGATCTGCTGCTGAGGTTGTGCCCCATTATATTTGAAAATCATTTTGGTCTGATATTTTTATCTGCTGCTTTTATTCAACCAAAAATATTGATCAGTATAAACAATAACCATTTTATTGTTGAAACTCTTGAAAGTGTGACATAGACACAACCACATTTATGCATAATTTATCTGCACTTAGTCTTATTGCAACTATTATGTTGAGACTGGAGTATTAGGTTGTTTCATAATTCCCCACTTCAAATTCCACTCTCTCAAAAATGGACTATCATCTGTTCAAAAGTATTTATGGACCACCTAGCTGTTTTGTAAACCATAAAGGTTCAAACATTTTTTATGGAAATACATTACCTAATCTAAGTTGTGGACATCACTAGGATAAAGAACTGAATAATGAAACGAATAACAAAATACCACCCACCCTCTTAATTAACTAACAACAAAAATATCACTCTGTTAGTATACGGGCAGGTTGTTTGGAATGATTTAGCAAATTTCCCTTAGATGCTTGAGGAAAGATGCACACAGAAGCCGTATATATATCAAATCTGTAACTGACATCCAATTTCTAGAAACTAAATGACCCAATACCTATTTCAAAATTGATGAGGGCATAAATTTGTAAATTTTGTGCAGTCCTATTTGCATATTCTGTTATATGCTTTTGCTGACGCCTTTGAGTGGTGGATTTTAATGGAGTGAAAGTGCATTGAAAAATCTGACAACTCATGCTGACTCTACTTGGAGTTTGTGACATCAGGCTAACAATTTATTCAACATATCAAGACATACTTTATCCCATTTCGCGTTTCTATGATATGTAAGCCAGAAAATTCCACGTTTAGTTCACTGTTTGCTTTGCTACAATGATCTACAAACATAGCTTCTTGCATTTTCTGATGTTTAATTCAAATAAGACATGCATTATCCTAATAGTGCAGCTGAAGTATGAATGTAACTATCACACTGTCATTTTCATCTCCTTGAACTACATGATTGACAACACTGTCTTCTTGCAATTATCATTATCAAGTTAATAAGCCAGTGCATTAGCTTCGGATTTGTAGTAAGTCTTACAAACCTAGGGTTTTCTTAGTTGATATCTTCCTTTGATATGAATGACCATATAGAGTTCTTCATGGGCCTTATGGGCTTGACCTTGATATACTTAGCACTTGCCTTCAAACTGAGGAGGATCCGAAGCATTGAGTTTGAGCAAGTGAAGCCGATGTTGTTCCCTAGTTTTTGCTTTGGTGATAAAATTTGCCACTTGTAGTTTTGAGGGCCCAAGAATTGTTTTCTAATGACAATGAGACCGGGTAAAGGAAGCGTCGACACCAATGTGTTTTGTTTACAGGGGCAATTTGTCTTGGCTCCAATATTATAGAGGTGTAGGAGTATCACATGGAATACCAACATCAGCTAACCACCATCGAAGCCATATAATTTTTGAAGTGGTTGTTGTAAGTGCTCTAAGTTCTGTCTTTGTGCTAGAGCGACAGCAACCTGCTTCTTGGACTTACATGTAAGAGAAAAACCAAGAAAAATGCAAGAAGTGACAAAACGATGATCTGTAAGATTACTCACCCAAGTAGTGTCCCAGTAAGCATGAAGCTGAAGCAAACAATCACAAGCATAAAAAACAAACACTGAGATGACGTGCCCCTTAAATACCGCATCACACGAAGCAAATATCCAAAATGAATTGAAGTAGGAGAACTCACAAACTTGACTCAATATATGAACATCATGGGCAATGTCATGCTTGGTATTTAGACTGCCCACAATATGCTGATATCGAGAGAGATCCTCAACAACCGTACCATCAGTAATGATGAAGTTGCAAGTGAAGATCCATAGGTTTAGTCGCTGTCCGATTATCAATAATACCGACGAACAAGAAGATCTTGTATGTGTTTGGACTGAGAAAGGTAATAGCTCGAGTGAGAGTGCATCAGCTCAGCTCAATGCCTAAGAAGTAGCTAAGAGGACCCAAATCAGACATTGGAAATTGTTGACCAAGTTGTTTCTTGACATGAGAAATATGTTATGCATCATCTCCCGTAATCAACATATCATCAACATAGAGTACGTCCACGTGGAGAGAGATGAATAAACATGGCAGGATCATGATCACTAGGGAAAAACCAGCAGACAGAGGCGAAGTGCTCAAACCAAGCACGTGGAGCTTGTTTGAGACTATATAAGGCACGATGAAGACGACAAACATGTCCAGAGGGGGTATGAGCACCCACTGGAGGTTGTATATAAACTTCCTCATGCAAATCACCATAAAGAAAAGCATTCTTCATCTGAGATATGATCTGAGATATGATCTGAGATATGATCCAAGAACGAGTAGCAGCCACCGCAATTAGAGTGCGAACAATGGTCATTTGAGCAACAGGATCAAAGGTCTCGTCATAATCCCATCCTTGAGTTCGCTGAAAGCCTCTAGCAACAAGACGAGCTTTATATCTCTCAATGGAACCATTCGACTTCATGTTAATATTAAAGACCCACTTACAAGTGATAGGTACGACATGCAATGGTAACGGAACAGAATCTCAAGTGCCGGTACGATCAAGTGCAACAAGTTCCTCAGACATAGCAAGTTGCCACTCTGAAATACGAGAAGCGTCCTGGATCATCAATAATAGCAGTTGCACGTAGAAAACCCAACATATCAGGAGGCTCAATATTAGTATGATCACGTAAATTATATCTTTGACCATCCTAAGACTCCAGGAATAGCGACACATCAGAATCAACAGAATCATTAAAGACGGAGGCATGAGACTGGCCGAGAAGCGTTGTGTGACCTATTGGACGACGAGTATAAACCTATGTGATAGGTTGTGATAGGTGGTTTATATGAGGGAGACTCGCCAGAAATGGGTGGTGGAGGCTCATCATGAGAGGTTGGGATTAAGAGAGATGGTGAAGAGGGAACATCATCAGCAGGAAGGGAAGGAAATAGGAGGAAGACATAAGGACGTATACCTATAGAAGAAAATGTGGGGTGTGGAAGAGTTATAAAAGAAAGGACGATCCACGACAAATGTTACATCACAAAATAGGCAAAAATTCAATTTTGGTCCGCTAATTTGTCCATTGTCCACTTTTGATACACTATCTTTCCTCTCATAAAAAATGGTCCATTATGTTACATTTTTCATCAGTTTTAGTACGCTACTCTAGTTGGCGGGATTACATGATGATGTGGACCGGGATTGGAACTACGTGGAGGGATAAGATATTGACGTGGTAGGATAAAAACCTGATTTGGCATCTCGTAATCCCGGGCCACGGGATTAGTGTACTAAAATTGATGAAAAGTGTAACATAATGGACCATTTTTTATGAGGGGAAAGATAGTGTACCAAAAGTGGACAATGGACAAGTTAGCGGACTAAAATTGAATTTTGCCTCACAAAATATATGCATGCAAGGAAAAATCATAACGGTAACCATTATGCTAGGGACTATACCCTAAAAAGACGCACTTAACCGACTGAGCAGTCATTTTAGTGTGCTCACATGGAGCAAGAAACACATAGCATGTACATCCGAAAACCCAAAGATGATAATAAACAAGGGGAGTACCAAAAAGTACCTCAGCACGACACTTACCAGTTTGGATGACGGTTGTCGGTTGATAAGATAAACAGCTATAGACACAACTTCTGACCAAAAATGAGAAGGAACACACGAGTCAATGAGAAGGGTTCGAGTAGTTTCAATGAGATGGCGATTTTCCCTTCTTGCAACACGATTATGAGCATGTGCACAAGGATAGGAGAGTTAGTCAGAGGTAAAAAGAAACTCATGAAATTTGCCAAATTAATGCTCCCCACCACAATCACAACGAAAACTTAAATAGGATTAGAAAATTTAGTATGGGCCATGCGAGTAAGATCCTTATAAATGAAACCCAACTGAGGACGACGTTTCCTGAAATAAATTCAAGTATACCGAGAATGATCATCAATAAAAAAACATAATATTTATTGCCACCTTTTGTAAGGAAAGGGAATGGACTCCATAATTAGAGTGATTAAGATCAAAAGATCTAGCAAAATGAGAAGTATTAGAAGTATATGGGAGTTACAACTGTTTTCCAAGCTTGCAACTTGTACAAGGAAAAGTAGACTCCATATATGTACGACCTAAACGAATATTACTTATCATAGTGGACAAACGAGACCCACTCAAATGACTAAGAACATGAGCCTCTTCGCGAAGGATTAGGTGGAAGACGAGGTAACGAATGACACATGGGCGATAGAACCAGCGGAAGAGGGAATATACAAAGTGTTTTAGATGTACAGACTTGGAGAACCTCTAAGGCGATGGCTAGTCCCAATCACAGTTTCTTTTTCACAATAAAACAAGATGAGTCATCAAATCCAACTAAACAATTTTGACCAAGTGAAAGAAGATTCATAGAATAACTTAGGAACATGAGAGATATTAGGTACTGAAAAACGTGAATTGCATAGAGAACCCTCATAAGTGATATGACAAGATGTGCAGTCTGAATAGAAGTACCATTAATGACCGATTTGTAGGCAACCAACTTGGACTTATCAGACGTCACATGGAATGATGCCCCTGAATTGAGAACCCAAGCCGAGGAGCATTGACAGAGAGGCAGCAACAACAACAGATACAACAACAGATACATATATTGACCATTTTGTAACAAGTCGTACCACAAGTGTAAGAAGCACGACGTGCTCAGGATGAGAAAAACAATTTAGGTACTATGACCTATCTTCCCGTAATGTTGACAAAAATTTGAAGAGCCACCTCTAGGTGCACTAAGCCGTTTAAGAGGATGTTTAAGAGGATGTCCGGTGAGAAGCTACCAAGACACTATGAGATACTGACAAGTGACATAGAATGAACACGAGTCTCTTAAGCAATTAAATCAGACAATGATTGTGTCATGGTTAGAGTAGAAGAGTTATGAAGCAACCATGACTGAATGAACTCAAATTTTGCTCTAACTCCTATGACTCAGTGATATATAAAAAATTTCTCAACAATTTATATGCTGAAGACTCCTCTTCCATGCATGGAGGTACCATGGAGACCAATCACATGAATCAATCAAAGGCCGAGTAGTACTCATCAACAGACATCGTTCTATTTCACATGAATTTGCTGCATAAATGTGTTTATGCAGGAGTGCACCACTTAACGTATTGTTGTAAATAGGACCACGTATTGTTGTAAATAGGACCATTGCTTTGGCTGTTTGAAAAGAGGAAATGCTCATAAACATGGGCTTCTTTACACTGTTGGCGATGACAACTATCACTTTTCCGTTATTATTTTGCATTATCATGTTGTCAGCAACATTACTATTATCTGTCTTTCGTTCGGGTCCATCATCGGTCAAGTAAGCTACACCATAACCCCTCAATATTGTGGAAACAGAAAAGCCCACTCCCGATAATTCTGGCCATCAAGAATTATATTGATAACAATTGCATTGAGTTGCAACATGATTTGATGATTAGAATACACGAGTTGTCCCACATTGTTTATACAGGAATAATAGGCCCTAACTTATATAGTGGGCTACTCTTTCTTCGACCAATTGGTTTTGAGATGAAACTTCATTGGACTTTCCCTGTTATGGTGTGCTTCACATGCGTGGGACCACACCCGTTTTTCCACCGTTTCTTACATGGTATCAGAGCCGGCCTACGTGGGTCCTGGTGATGACGTACCCGTTTTCCCGGCTCAGTTGGGCTTGGGCTCTCGGCTCCATATATGGGCTTGGGTTAAGTAGGACTCACAAGTGAGGGGCGTATTTGAATATCACTTTGAGTTGTCCCAGTATAGGAAAAATAAACCTAACTTATAAGTCTTGTGGGCTACTCCTCCTTCCACCAATTGGTTATGGGATGGAACCTCACTTATTTGGGCCTTTTATGATGCGCTTTACATGCGTGGGACCGCACCCGTTTTCTCCCCGTTTCTTACATTGACGACGTATGGCAATACACCTTTGCGATGGGTGGATGATACGCGAACAACGATGTATATGAATGAAGTGGCTGCGGCGGGCAAAGTAAGATAAAAAAGCAGACGAGTGACGACAAAAAAGGAACTGTGTCGGGAATGATTGAATAAACGAATCCTAACCCCGAGAAATGGCTTGTCTGAAAAATGCAAAAACGGACACCAAAAATCTTCCAAAACAGGAAACTAAAAGCATTGGCAGCAATGTCTCAAAAATCCGATCCCATGGAAGTTTGCCCGGAAAAATTCCAGCGAGTCTCACGCTCCGGAAATGTACTGTTATGGCGCGTGTGACCCGCACGCGCGGAGTTTTCCGGCAAGATTTGGACTGAGCATATTTAAGGGCGGCATGATGACTGGTGTGGGAGGTGAGACTTGAAGGAAAAAAAAAATAAAAATAAAACCCTATTTGCTTTGCATTGATAATGTGTTACAACTATAGGGTTTTTTGAGTTGATGTTTTCCTTTGATATGAATGACATTCATTGGGCGCTTGTCATCTATAGGGCCTTGATATACTTAACAGTAAGATATGAACACTTAGATTTGAAAAAGAACCTATTATGTGCGTTCAGTTATATGTAACTTGACTTTATATACTGCATATTCACCCTTATTGTTTCACAACCATAATTCTGTACTTCTCTACAAGTCTGATTCCGCAAGTGTATGTCATTGCCACTTTAAAGTATTTATGGTTTTTCTTTTTTAAATAACCGCCCCTATTTTAGGTCGTTTTGTAATGGGTTTGTTTGTGGCAACTTAAAGTTTTGATTTATTTTTGTTGCAGCCTGAGATGGAAATGGTTGCCCGAGGCCTTGACAAGTCTTTAAGTCTGGAACAAAGAGAACATATATTGAAGTCATTCATCACAATTTGTGGCGAAGATATTGGTCAGAGTGTAATGGAAGCACTGGGTTTGGTATGTCGTTCTTGGCTTCAATCTAATGTACTTTGATTCTGTGATAGTTATGCCCATTGTCTCCTGCATTTTTTTAAGGTTATATAAGGAATGGGATTACGATTGTCTTTTGAATCACACTCAGGCGTACCACCATATTCTAATTTTGGTCAAGGGATTGTGTGCATAGTTCACTCTTAATTCCTTTAACCCTGTAATTTTTGATTTTGTATATATAGGACTAATAATTTATCAAATTTAAGCTTCACTCGTTGGTATGCTAATGCAGGGAGGAGCCGCAGATGAACAGAGAAGCCAACATGCATCAACTTAAAATACACAGTGCTTAATTGGAGGGGTTATCCAGTGTAAGATTTGTTTCAGTGTCGCTCAGTTATTTCAGCAGTCTTTTGTTTAATGATACATTGTTCGCTCTAAGGGATGATCTCCTTGAGATCTTATTTTTAACTTCAGTTCAGAGTCAATGTTTTCTCAGTTGTCTCAGTTTTTTCAGGGATAATCCTTTTATCTTATCATTTAATGACACTAATTGGAATGTTCATGCACAACTGCTGAAGAAAATGCTTTCGTTGTTATATAATTAGGCAATTGGAAGAAACCGATTGTTTGCACAAATGTTTGAGTTTACACTGACTGAGCCGTGGACCTGTTTAACAAGTATCTCTTCAGAGTTAGCAAGTACGAGACACTGCCATTGTACTTTGATGGCTTTTTATGGTGTATCTGGGAGAAACATCAAGTTCTTAAACGAATCTTAATTAAGCAGAGAATTTAGCCTTCTATATAAGAAGAGGATTTTTTTTATTAGTCTTTGATCAATAAGAGCATGAAAGGTTTTGAGCTTTCTCTTTGAGAAATTCACGATAAAGGGGTGCTCTGGATCATTAAGGGGGCGAGTGGATATAAATGAAATTGGTTTTGATTGAATTTATTAGTTAAAGTGAGTTAATTTTGAACTTGATTGAGTGGAGGATTGGGTGGGATTTTGAGTTTGTATTTAAATAATATTTAAAATGTAATGATTAAAGTTGATGTAGTGTAAAAGTATGAGATGAGTTATTGGAAATGATGGGTAGTTAAAAATATGTTAGCGGATGGATAGTGAATTAAAGTTGATGTGATGGGTGAAGAGACTGATTGGTATTATTCAATTATATTGATAATATTGAGAAGAGTTGAGTTAGATTAAATTTGAGTTGGATTTTGAGTTGAGTAGTGTAAAAAATTTATCCGGTTAGTCAAAATCGGTTATAACTTGTAGCCAATCGCGCCCTAAACTATCTGCGACAATAGTGTATTTTAAACTGCAATTTTGTATTTCGAGAAGTAGTCTGACTCTAAGGAGTTGTCGTATTTGTTTGAGCTGCTGAATAGACGTACTTTAAGTTATCATGAAGCCTTTTGCTTGAGCATCTTGGATAATTAATCAGCTGGTTGCAACAATTTGAGATGAAGTCAAGGTAAATTACCTACACCATTAACATTTATGGAAATAGTTTTGAACATTCGTGCAGAACCATATCCAAGGCAATCAGGCTATTAAAGGTTTCACCCACCTTATTTAAAAAAACAACTACTCAAGTAATTAAGCAAATCTTTCATAGTAATTGATGTGCATGGATACTTCTTTTTTACTTGTACTATCTGATGATAAGTAAGCGTACCAAAACTTGCTGCATCAGGTTTCTGATATTACCATTTACCCAATTGCACTGGTAACAGAAAGCGTGCAATATATATTTATTGCCCGAGTATGAAGATCTTAGAATTAAACTAGCTGGTGGAGAAACCAGGTTCTCGTGCCAGAGATCTGTTAAATTTCCCGTAACCGAAACTTAGGAGAAATTCTGCAGTTCATTAAATGTCAATCATCTTAGAAATTTCATCACAGATTATTCTAAGTTCAGTTGCTAATTTATCCAAGATGTTCAGATATGCTCAATCATCTGGAATTATCTCAGATGACAGCTATTCAGTAGCTGAAACAAATGATTCGTCCACTGAAAATTTCAAGCACAGGGCAAAGAGTACTTCATAAGATGCTGTGATGAATTAGATACCCATGCTACCGGAAAATAAGATTTAAAGCTTCGATGATGTGTATTAATCTCCAAAATCATCTTGAAGAGGATAAAGTTATTGATCTTAAACTTGTGTTATATGTTGTTTCTGTTAAATGCGTTGTCCCAGTATTTTAAGCTGTAATAATTTCTTAGTTTATTTTCTGGCAGGCCAAAGGAGGGAAACAGATCTAATAAACATATTTTGGTTTTACGGAAACTATGGGCTAAGTGATTGGTCTGGCTCAGTACCTGAAGAAACTTGAGAAACAGCAATCAACATGCCTATCCTCTATTTTGGACATTCTATACATTGCCATTTAGAGGAAAACTAAGTGAAACAGCTTTCTATATAGCATTGTATCTGTTGTTTGAGGGGTGTGGGGTGGAGGAGGATGGGTGGTAACTAGTAAAAGCACTAAACCTGAATCTAGATTGAAGGATTTCGATTGTATGAAAAGATATAGAGTTAAGGAATTTTAGTTACTCTATTGATGTATTTGAACCCTCACTATATGACTCAAAATTGTAAATAAAGATTTTAAGAATTTAGTTCCTGAATATTATTCAAACAAGTGAGAAGGATTTGGCATTGTTGATTTGATATTCTTTTGATGAGATCCTCCAACCCAAGCAATAGGTAAGGTATTTGATTAACAAGATTATGCATGTTTGTGAAACTATTTCTTTTATATCTACCTCCTGTATTTGACACACTCATGAGAATGTTGTGGAATTGTTTATTTATATCAGAATCAAATTGTATGTTGTGAAAATTAACCTTGAAAATTGTATGTTGTGAAAATTATTTAAAATATTATTTTTAAATTTGTGATATATTTTTGATTGTGACTTTGTTAAATCCGTCTATACGTGAAAGTGGTTTGATCAACCAACTCCACACTTATTATGAACTTATGTATCAACTTCCTAGGTGGTTCGGACATGTCCAACGAAGGCCTCCTGATGCACCGGTGCATAGGGGAGTTCTACAGCGGGTCGATGATGTAAAGAGAGGTAGAGGTCGGCCTAAACTCACTTGGGAAGAGTCGGTTAAGAGAGACCTTAAAGATTGGAATATTTCCAAAGATTTACCGGTGGATAGGAGCGCTTGGAGGCTAGCAATCAACGTGCCAAAACCGTGACTTTTGCTCCTTTTTCTTTTGCTCCAATTTCTTTCTTTTGTTTTGAGCCCTTTTTGTGTTTCTCTTACCATTGGTTCTCGTGGGTTTCATCTCTAGCCTACCCTAACTTGCTTGGGACTAAAAGGCTATGTTGTTGTTGTTTGTATGTATCAACTTCCACTTTCTATTGATGATATGCCTGTCGTTGAACGACCTTACCCATACTTCTCAAATTTTTCTCAGTAATCGGCGAATTTGGACACAAACATTAATGATTGGGCTTCATCACTTAATCCCTACAAAATGCTAGGATTGCAGGAAATAAGGAGACTTGATATGATGAACTCGATCACTTCCTGACCGTATATTTCAGACTTACACTGCCACTCATTTTCATTGTCTTGGATTAATGGCAAAAAAATGAAGACCACTTACAGTGTTCAATGCTTGATGGTCGAGGAGATTTTTGTTGTGTTGGCCTCAACTGTGGCGGTTGAACATGTATTTAGTAAGTGAGGATATACTTCGGATGTTTAACAGTCGAGGTTAACGTCACAAAACTTAGAAGCTCAAATGCTGCTGAGCTATTGGAAGAAGCCGAAAGAAGGTTACAGACGACCATGATAACTTAAGAAAATGATGAAGAGTCGAATGATTTTAGTACTAGTACTGGATCCGACAGAACCGAAAACGACAGCGGCTACGCTTATGATTACTAGAGCGTTGAACGCATCATGTCATCTCCTTCATCAAGTTAAGAAAGCTAAAAACGAGGACTTTGATTCTCAAGGTAAGCTAAAAGTAGACAACTTAATGGCATATTATAAGTTAAACCATAATTTTTTAACTGAAAATATTTCAACGTAATTGACATTTTAACTTATAATATGTCGACTAAGCCCAAGTCTAATGCTTTTCTCCCCCAATTCTTTTAAATATAATTAATTAAAAAAGTGACGTTTCAACCTGAACCAGCCCAAGTTATTCCCAAACTGGTTCCAATTCAACGAAAAACTGATATCAAAACCGGCCCAACCCATTGACTGGCCACGTCTACTCTCTTGAAGATCCATTCTCCCTTGCATACGGGAAAAAATCTCGAGCCTCACACTTCTGTTGGGTTCTAATCTTCAGGACAGTCGGACATATTTAGAGAATAAGGGATTATCCTTGGAATTTTAATCCTATCAACTTTCCCGAAAGAGCCCCAACTCAATTGAGTATATCACCTTATTTCCCAACAAAAGCAATTTCAAAGTTTATCCCAGGGAGTGCGTATTAGAGTTTTTTTTGTGTGTGTGTGTGTGTGTGTGTGTGTGTGTTGCAATTGCAATAAACAAATATTGCTTATTTGTTCTAGAGTAGATGGCATGGGAAAAAAGATGATACTAAAATATAAAAATAAAAATATGCAAATGCAAATTATGTTTCTTATCCTTGAAGGAAAAGAAATAAGAAAATGATGACAAAGCCAAACATGAGGTACCCTACCTAGTACCTACATACATAGCGCAACACTTTAAAAGAAAGCACCAAGCCAAATTGAATTGATCTGATTTGACAAAGAAAATCACTCAAAAGAAACTCATATAATCATCACCCATACGAAAAATAGAAAGTAAAAACAATAAAAATTTGTGTTTAGCCGCCTTAGCAAGCAACACACAGTCAGTCCCACACAAACAACGGCTCAATTTTATAATACCAACATCACATCACCACCGAGTAGCAAACAGACAATGGTCTCAGGAGCAGAGAAAATGAAAAGAAATAATAAAATGGCATTTCATGCAAACTTAATCAAACACGCAGAGCAAACTTCACACTTAAATCTCAGGAGCAGGGACAGTCGACTTCAAGAGAGGCTGCAAAGCCTTGACAACAATGCTCATATTCGGGCGAAACTCTGCTTCATACTGCACGCACAATGCTGCAACAGCTGCCAACTGAGTTTCATAACAACAACAAACGCACACATGTATCAGAAAGAATACTTTCTTTTCTCCATTATTAATTATTAATTAACATACAATCGAAAACACAACCTTGGCTACCCCTTTTGGCGGATACTCTCCCTTGAGTTTTGGATCAACGCATTGTTTCACTTTGTCCTCACTCAATCTTGGCGTGGCCTAAAAGAGCACAAGCCTCATTTTATAAGTGAGAATACAAGTATTGTGGGAGAAAAATGGAAAAAAAAAAAAAAATGAAATTCTCACCCAGGTAACAAGACTCTGCTGCCCACGTGGCATGGTGTGATCGACAGGCTTTCTTCCAGTCAGAAGCTCAAGCAGAACAACCCCAAAACTATAAACGTCACTCTTCTGTGTCAACTGTCCTGTCATTGCATATCTGCACAACATTTAGTACACAGTTAACATGGATGATGTCGGGTTTTGCTCAGAATCAGTAGAATAATAATGTCAAAACAGACAAAATGATAAACATCAATCTCATTTTAAGTGAAAAAATATACATATATATCTTGTATTCTTACAATATATACTAAACCTTTTTGTAGCATATTTGTTTAACCTTATCTAACATAGCCCATATGGACACAACATTGTTTCCAACTAGCTAAATGTGGAATCATTCAATTCTCCAGGAAGCAGCAAAACATATATTCGGCTGTTGGATGGCATACAGATGCTATTAATGGAAATAGGCACCATTGGCATTATTATGTTCTTGGATGTTAATTTGATTATTTATCAATAATTTCAGCAACTAAATATTTCAAACCAATTTCATCCGATGCTGACAAAGGAGATGAATTATCGACACTGTGATTGCACAATTTAAAAGGTCTGCAGTGTGCAATGTCGCTTTGCAGTATCTTGACTAAGAATCCTGAACCCTGTCTATCACGAATCATCAAATTTAACTTCAGGTATGCTTCCTTTAAATCCATAATTGGTATATTTCTCACTTTTTGACTCAAAATCATGAATAGACCTATCCAAAAATAAAGCAATTAGATTAAAGCCTAACGACTTCCTTTTGTAGACATGCATTTTAGGTGAGAAGAATAGAGTGGATAGACGTTTACTCTGGAGCATGATAACCAAAGGTTCCCAGAACTCGAGTAGAATGAAGACGGGCAGCCATGTCAGGAGCCTGATTTGAAAGGTTGAAATCTGCTATCTTGGCTTTATAGTCTTCAAAAAGAAGCACATTGCTGGATCGGATATCTCTGTGAATTATTGAAGGCTGTACTTTCTCATGCAAATATTCCAGTCCCCTTGCAGCATCAACAGCAATTCTTACCCTTTGCATCCAGTCAAGTACTGGCCCAGGTTGTGCTCCTTGCACTCCTTTCCTTCCTGTGATTTAAAAGAGAAAAAGAAAAAAATATAACCTTATTTCCTTTAATAACCCTCAAAGTTGGAAAAAGGGGTAATTGAAGAACAGTTTATTCTGCATACCATGCAAAATGTCATGGAGAGATCCCATGGTTGCAAACTCATAAGCTAATACACGTAGATTGCCATCTACACAGTAGCCAAGCAATTCAACAAGATTTTCATGCTTAAGATTTGACACCACGGAAACCTATGCAAATATTCATCATATTAAGATTGGTCCGTATAAAAGATATTTAGCAAACTAGGAAAACGTGGATAACACTCAGCAATATTTTCTATATACCTGAGTCAAGAACTCAACATTTGAATCAGGCTCAGACGACACATCAAGCTTCTTGACAGCAACCTCTTTTCCATCATTCAGCTGAGCAAAGTATACTCTTCCGTAAGATCCTTCACCAATCAATGCCTTTGAACCGAAATTGTCTGTTTTCTCTTTCAGTTCTTCCAATGACAGAGCAGGCACCTCAATAGGAGGTACTGCCTTCTGAACCTCATGCTTCACTGGAGCTGAAGCTTTAGAGCCTCTTTGATGTCCTAATATTGTGACACAGAAAAGATTAGATGCAAAAAATGAACAATCCAATTATGTTATTAACTGATGAAGCTATGGGACAAATGCATTGTGCTTGATACGATGTACTAGTAATAATTATAAGTGTTGACGGAAAACAGATGCGCAAATTATAATCAAGGTCACCCATCATATGAGAATATCATTAAAGATAAAAGGTACAGGATAACCTGCTGGCCCAAAACACAATGACACAGTTACTAAGGTCATTTCACGGACACACTTAGTCTTACAAATAACAAACCAAACAAGAAGTTTCTCAAGAAACGATTTACTTACTTTTGTGCGTGGTTTAGTCTCTCTCTCTCTCTCTCTTTATCTATCTCTCTTTGTCTCTCTCTCTATTTATCTCTCTCTCTCTCTCTCTCTCTTTCTTTCTATATATATATATATATATATATATATAGGAAAAGGCTACGGTCCCGTTACGGAACCATTTTGTCGGGATTTGTAACCGTTAGATCATCATGTAACCATCGTGGATAGTTGATCTAACGGTTACCAATCCCGACGGAATGGTTCCGTAACGGGACTGTAGCATTTCCCAGATAATTAGGATCCTTCCATTTCGAGATGTGAGGTCCAACCATAGCCATTGATATGAGTAGAATCAATGACTCATATTAATTAATTGGGATTTACATTAGATATATAATAATTATTATATTAAAAGTAAATATATAATAAAAAATCAGCTTACTGTCATTGACTGCCGGCTGGCGGTCGTTGACCACTGTTAACCGATTGTTGACCGCCAAAGGAAAATATTTTCAATGTGAAGACTGCACATTTAGTTCATGCATAATGCGAATTTAGTTCATGCGTGATGTATATTTAGTTCGTACATAAATGCATACTTAGTTGATAGCAATTGTATATTTTGAAGCTATTTAGTTCATATATAATGAATGTTTAGTTCATATATAATTGCATATTTATTAGTTTCAATTGCTATCAATTACATACTTAGTTTCAAAACTTACATACACAATGTATATTTAATTCATACATAATGCATAATTAGTTGATATCAATTGCATAGCTTGATAGGGACACTGTCTGTTTCAAGATTGCACATTTAGTTATTACAAAATGCATATTCAGTTCATACAAAGTCAGGGGCGGAACCAGGAATTTATTTGAGGGGAACAAAAAGTGAAATTGGATAATTTGCTACACTAAAAAAAATTCAACTAAAAATCAATGGTTTAATGAAAATTACAATGGATATTTTGTTGGAAACTTCAACATATATTATAACATGTCCCTTGGAAAATGAGCTGAAATTTGATAATTTTCCAATGGTTATTTTTCAAATGATTTATTGTTTGAATTTTCGTTAGAATTCTTTTTTTCAAATGATTTATTGTTTGAATTTTCGTTAGAATTCTTTTTTTCAAATGATTTATTGTTATTGGAATTACCAAAATCCAACGGAAAGTCCAAGAGAAAATCAATTCCAATGGAATATTTTCGTTGCAATTGGTTAATAACAGCGGGACTAATGCATTGGAATGGAAGCATTAGAATATCCATTGAAATTATTATTGCAATTGTCTTTTAATTCATTTTAGTTGGAACTTAGTGTTAGGCAACAATTTGTTTAAAAGAAAAAAACATTGTTCTAGGTCATTTGCCCAAATAATTGTGTAGCTGAATTTTTAATTTTCAAGATGTGTTTAACAACACTAAACAAAAAATAAATAATAAAACTCACAAAAAAGTTCCTAGTAAATATTGAATTTAGTTACAACTATTGACTACAAGAAGTCATAATCTAAAATCGTATCATAAGGTTTTATTGTTAATTTCCCAAAGATTTTTTCTTTTTGTTTTTAGATTATAGAACTCTAAAAGCATTAAGTCAATTATTTTAACATAAAATTAGTGATATCCATTGGAGTAGACATAGTTTTATCATATTTAGGAGGGAGAAAAATTTATAAATAAAGAGTGACCAAATCTAAAAGTAAAATATATATAACATTTTTTTAGGGTCTAGTAGCAACGTGGTTTCGGCCCACACATATAGTGCATATATAGTTCATACATAATGCATACTTAGTTGACATCAACTGCATATCTTAGTTCATACAAAATGCATATTTAGTTATACATAATGCAACTTTAACTTTAGTTCATATTATTTTGAGTGAATATTAGTTCATATACAATGTATATTTAGTTTATACATAATTTATACAACGGTTACCGATCAATGTCGACGGTCAAAGAAATATTTAAATAATTAAAAAAATTAAAAGATTAAATCTTGGCTACACATCTTGTCCTTATTTATTGGGTTATGATTGAACCTCACATTCTCATATTAAAAATAGACACTCTGTCGATTCAATTCCTATATATATGGAAAATTTCTCAACAAAATAAAATAGAAAATAAAATAGAACTTGAGGGTTAACCTATAGTATCTTAATATAGTGAAAAAGTATCATCCATCATATCTACCCACTAAAGTCAAACCAAATGCACAAATTCAAGATCGTGTTTAGATATAATGACTTTAGAGCTGTAAACGAACCGAATGAAAACGATCAGTGTCCATACATAAACGAACACTCGTAACACTCAAGCTCGGCTTTTTAGGTACAATTACAACTCTAATGGTTGTTGCCTTATTTGGGGAGTTTGATTTCATGCTGACAGATTGATTTTAAAACATAAGATGAAGATGCTCCACGATACATCCAAACAATTTCTGAAATACATTAGTTGTCTGATAAAACATAACTGACCACCACAACGAGACAGATATTGAATTAATTATAATCAATCACACCTACTATACTTAATCAACTTTTTATCAAGATTTCAGCCATTTTCTACTTCCAGATTTTCATGCATCACATCTATCCAGTGATAAACAAAGCTATATTGCTCCACTTGTGGTAGCTTCGTAGGGCATATCATAAAACCAGAACATGACATCTAATACTTAAAAGATAATACAATCTGTTCGTTAGTATAAATTCATAGCACATACAATTTGTCAAAATACAGAAATTGATATCACTGCCACAGGATATAATCCAGATACGTTTTATGTGAAGTGTTGTGAACGACTATTAAGTTATACTCCAACTCTCCATTTTTAAAAATGACAAAACCTAATTAATACTAAAAACTATTCTTCTTACTTAAAGGCAACACAAATACTTATAATTTGCAAAAAGGAAATCATTTTATTCATTTCTATATAACAAATTTCACCCAACAGTGCAAGCAATATAGTATTCAGTATCCGATCAAAAAAATATAGTATTCAGTGCCAACTTAAAATGATTGAAAAGTATTTTCCAATTCAGAAGTAGCTAGTTAAAAAAAGAGGAATATATAAAGTATTTACCATCAGCATGAGTTGTTGGGCTCTTCAGGTGCTCATTTTCATGGGGCTGATAGGACTCCTCTACTTGACAAGTGCAACACAGCCACCTACGCATCCTTGTTCTCTTTCTCAAATAAAGATCGTCTTCAGCACTCTTGTTCTCTAACCGTACAAAGTAACCGGGAGGAGGTGCCTGAGCCTGACAATATCAATATTCAGTTGAACAATTTACACAACTAATATGTCAGACATCATCATGTCTCATCCATACTGAAGCAAAAATGTACACTGTACCAACAAATTACATGAGACATACAAAATATTTTGAGAGCTTCAATGTCAGACAAACCCAAATGCATCCTAAGTTGGAAAATGAAAGAAAGTTGCACACAATAATACTGAACTCTACAGGCAAACTTCAATCAACAGTCATTTGCATGTGACCTGATACAATTTACAAATCATTGAAAGATAAATAACTGAATCAACAAATCAGTTGTATAAAAGTTTTTACATAATAAAACAGATACCGGACAATCTAGAGTATTGATGAACAGATTTATCAACTGTTATTCATGGTATGATAGAAATCCACCCATTTTCCTCCTAAAAAGGTGACACGGGAGTTCTCATATCCTCAATAACAGAAAACTACTGCCATTGCCCACATATCCGGTCAAGAACAGTTCTTCCCAGTCATCAACAACGATATTCATTCCCATCTGATCCAGCAATCTCTCAGTCATATTGGTCTTTCTATACCCCAAAGCCACAGCCCATAAACAGACAACCAAAACACATGAAAAATTAATCCAAAATCAGAAACACGCCATACATTTCATTCCCAAGGCTAAGATCGCATCACATAATAATATTCCCAAGGCTCAAATCATTTCAACAAGAATAAAAATAATAAAGGAAAAATCGAAAGAGAGAAAATGAAAAAAACGAGACCCTTGAAGAAATTCAAATCCCATTACGTATCCTGGGATAATCATAATACCTAATCACGATCAAATAACACAAATTCAAATAAATTCTCTGACCAAATCAAAAAGAACAAATTCCGAAATTCCAGAAACGCGGATAAAAATCTCATATTGGCACTCTTACCACCAAATTACGCCGATTGATATAACTGTCATCGATCGACATTCAATAAATCTACGGTTCAACAAGTATGGACACAACTGATGCGCAAAGAAAACAGAGATTTTCCAAAGAAAGAGAACAAGGAGCAAGGAAAATGAGACCCAAATAAACAGAAAAATAAAGAGGAGCCTGAAATCAGATTACAAATCAAAAGCAATAATAATCAATAAAAGCCATTGAAGAGGAGGAAAACCAACCGAAATTCATGGGCCTCTTTTAGTTTTTTTTTAAATACTTTTTCCTTGCTTGCCCCTTTTCTCCTCACCTTTAGTTCCCTTCGTGAGGCCGACTCTGCCTATACAGAATTAATTAAAAATCAAATCTTGGCTATTATATATATGGTAATCTGGGATTTGCTTAAAAGTAATAATAACAAAGGAGATGGGAGAAAAAAGTGGGGTGGGAGGACAGGTGAGCGGACAGCCAGGCAAAGCAAATAAACCAACGAAGTGAATGTCTGTGTCTTGTGTTTTTGTGGGAGAGAGAGGAAGAGATTCGATTCTATACAGAGGCTGAAGGAAAGGTCGGTGGAGTGGATCAGAGAAAAGCGAGCTTGCTTGGTGCACAGGCGTAATTATGTTACATGTACGCGTGTGCCACATTTTCTTCTAACCTCTCCAATGCTATACATTAACAAAATTTAGTTATACTTCAAACTTTTAATACTTCAATACACAATGTCATCATAAACGTAGTGATAAGGTAGACATAATTAATATATATAATGTAGAGAAGAATGTGTTTATTTCACATTCTAGCCAACTTGATGAGACGAGATTGCTCTCGCGTTCCTCGACAAATATGATCTGATGCTGTTGCTTAATTAATTATCTTTATTTACTTTCTTCTTATAATTATTATATTTCCTTATTTATATTATTTGGGAGTAAGAAAATAATTATTGGAGATTAATTATCTTGTTTAGCAAGTTAAGTTTGTTGGGAGTCTAAGACTATATATTTATGTTTTATCTCCATAGCTGATCGGCTAATTTGAGATTGAAGATAAATCGGATTGAGTTTTATCGAGAGAGTCTCTCATATTTTCCCTTTCATATTCACGTTCTATATCAGTTGGTATCCAGAGACCAGCAACGATTGCGATGCTGCCAAAGAGAGGGAACACTACAAAAGAAGCTGCCGTCGACGACTGATTGCAACGGATGGACTATCGAATTCAAGGGATGGACGATCGATTTGCGGACCTTTCCACGGGGATCGAGGAATTACGTTTGGCAATGCGTACCATGATGGAGGAGGTGCATACGAACTGCGACCCCGGCGACCGGGGCGTGTGTGGGGGATTTTGTGGAGGTCGTGGAGGCCGCGGTCACGGCAGGGCGCCCCGTCGGAGATCTCCACCACCGCTGCGCGGTGACGACGATGACGAGGATACAATTTCCAAGGTCAATCCTTCGGCAAATTGGAGCCTCCCCATGTCGATGATGGACCCTTTGCTGCGTACGGCGGCCAGGATGGGCGGCGACAGCATGCGGCAATTTTTTTCGTCGCGATGGAGTTTACGCTCGCAGAGGACCACCAGCCTTCACTGTCGGCAAGCGATAGCACCGCGGCGGCTAGGAGCAGGACCGTGAGGGTGCGGCGTTTAGCCATCGGCGATGTCGAGAATTCGAGCATTACGCGGTGGGTTATGAGGATGATTGACAACGGCGTGGAGGGAACAACCAACGTGACGATCTCCCAGGATTTATCCATCAGCCACGTGACCTTCAACGTCTTTTGAATGGTGGAGACAAGTCAAAGTGGGAGTTAGGATTTTGGTAGAGATACCCGAGTTTTTTGGAGGGCTCGATGCAGCGGAATTCCTCGAATGGTGGACTGTCGTTGAGTCTGTGCTCACGTTTAAGGAGATCCCGCACGAGAGGCATGTTGCGCTTGTCGCCACGCAATTTCTTGGACGAGCGGCGGTATGGTGGATGCAACTCACGGGTTTGCGGCATCGCTAGGGGAAGCCCAAAATCTCCACTTGGATGAAATTCCTTAAGTACGTAGAATGTGAATTCTTACCTTATAAATATGATCATGTGGTTTATCAACAGTTACATAATTTGCGGCAACGACCGCGTTTGGTTGATGAGTATACGGAGGACTTTTATAGCCTCTTAACTCGTGTGGAGGTACGTGAGAAGAAGGGAAAATTGGTTTCTCGTTATGTGGGGGGTTTGAGTGTTGCTATAAAGGATGTACTGAATCTATTTGACCTGGATTCGGTTTCAGATGCACATCAACGGGCTCTCATTGTTGAGAAACAGTCGGCTCAAAAGACGGGTCGTCAATTGCGTCTTCCTCACAGTCGGATGCGGCAATGGGTGCTGCAAGTGCAGGTGTGCAGCGGGCTAGTGGCGTGATACGATGCTTCGGATGCGGCGAGTTTGGCCATCGGCAGACGGCTTGTCCACGAGGGGCCGGGTCGCGTGCTTTGTTCGCCAAAGAATCAACAGAATATTCTGCAGCCGCGGTATATGATGGCCCTCCCATTTTCGACAAAGAGCCGGAGGTTCCTGAGGTGCATGTCTCCGGGGACGTGTGACACGCGCTTGTCCTTTGTCGCTCTCTTTTGTCCCCGCACACGTCACTTCCAATGTTGAGGGCCTCGTCGGCGTCTTTTTTAATCTACGTGCACCATGGGCGGCTGGGTGTGTCGATTTATTATTGATTTCGGGTCCTGCGAAAAGGTGATCTCGAATGAGATCGTGGAGAAGCTTAGGTTGTCGACTGAGCCGCATCTGGATACTTATGCTCTCGCATGGATGCAGCTTGATAAGGCTGTCCCTGTTAACCGACATGTGTTGGTGTCTTTCTCTATTGGCTCTGCATATACGCATAAGGTGTGGTGCGATGTCGTGCCTATGGATGATTGGCACCTTTTATTAGGGCGTCCTTGGCAGTTTGATCATGCCGTGTTGCATGACGAGCGCCTTAACATGTATGGGTTTTTGTTTGATGGCACCCGCTTTGTCTTACATCCCTCGGCTCCCGTTCGGTTCCTTTGCAACCACCGTCGATGACATAAATTTTTTCTCGTGACGGGTCGTGTGGGGACTTGATTGGAGCGTTCGACAGTCGTTCCGTGATCTTTGACATGGGCGACTTTGTGTGGGTTGTTCCTACACCGGATGGTAGAATCGGCCCCTATGAGATCCTTGAACGGCTCAGGTAGGATACTTGTCGTCTTCTTTTGCCCTCTCATAAGTGTTCATTTGATGTTTTTCTCGTTACGCATTTGGCCCCTTTGCGCGACGACGGCTCCGACGGAGACGAGATCAGTTCGAATTCGAGGGCGAATCCTTCTCAACCGGGGGAGGATGATGGAGAAGAGATTTCCCTCACGTTCCTCGACCAATTTGATCGGATGTCGTTGCTTAATTAATTAGTTTTATTTGTTTTCTTCTTATTATTAATATATTTTCTTATCTATATTATTTGGGAGTAAGAAATAATTATTGGGATTTATCTTGTTTAGCAAGTTAGGTTTGTTGGGAGTCTACGACTATATATTTATATTTTCTCTCCATAGCTGATCGGCTAATTTGAGATTGAAGAATAAATATGATTGAGTTTTATCGAGAGAGTATCTCGTATTTTCCCTTTTATATTCACGTTCTACATCACAACCAATGGAGAGATGGGGGAGAATTATTATTACTATACTTCAAGGCTTTGGAAATAAAACTGGTCATCGAGCCGGTGAAACTACCTACTCAATAGTTCACTGGTCGAACATGCTTAATTAATATATAATTACTTATTTATTTTATGTATAATATATATAATTATATATATGTTCATAATTAATTTTATAGCGTATAATGACATTATCTAAATAAGAGTTCAATAATAGATAAAAGTCGACATGTGAAAAATGTTGATAACCATTTTTTTTTTTTTATATTTAAATTTTGATTTGTATTCAAGTCACAAAATAGAGTGAATATATACAACCAGATTTGTATTTTAAATTTTAAGTTTTAAATTTTTAAATCATATTTTAAGTATTTTATTATTTATTAAACAATAAAAAATAAAATTATGTGCATAACAATAAATCGGCCAAAATATGTTTTTTATACTGGTTTTATTATGCTGGTTTGTAAACGTATATAATGATTAATTAGTGGACTTGGCCTTTTAATCTGTTTTTATTGTTTTACTCCTACCTCAACGTGATCACATTACCTTTGCATGTAAGGCCCAAATCGACCCAATAATTCAAAACGACCTTTATTTGTGTATCATCCAACATCGGAAACACACGGAAAAAGCTATTTAAATGATAACTTCAGCTATTAAGTCACGAGAAATTTACACTCCTTACAATCAACTATGATTTTTATTACACTTATATGTCCCTTATATTTTTATTTATAAAATTGGCTAACCAAGTCAAAATATTTTCAATTTTACCTGATATTGGGATTAACGTTATTCCCTTTTTTCTCTACATATTAAATGCTAATCAAATCCTTAATTGAAATTAAAGATCTCCTTTAAGGACAAACAAAATTAAAACTCTCACTGCAGAAACCAACCGCCAAACCCCCGCCCCAAGCCGGCCCCATTCCTCGCGCCGCCGC